AGCAACTACCATTGACAATCACTGGACAAAAGAGTTTGTCAAGTTACTTAATTCTTTTTATTCTTATGTCTGTCAGTGGCAAGGGGTTCATCTCTTAAATGTAATCAGATAGTGATAGGTCTCCCACCACCTCAGCAGCTATTATGTATAGTAGCTGCCCTCTTCCTATGGTGCCTTGCCCCCTCCCCTGTGTGACATCATGCCAAGATGGTTGCTCCCACCAAAGAATAAACCCTTCTTCCCAGTATGCCCCTGTTCCCACCTAGAAAGTAACCTAATACTCGCTTACCTCCTAACACCTAGTGACATCATGGGCTCCTCCATTCCCTAGTCACTACCTCATTCAACCCCACCTCTGCCCCTACAAACCCCACCCCAGTCTCTACAAAAGACTCTCCCTGCCCCAGCCATATTGCTTTTGTCTCTCCTTTGTTCAGAGACACCCCGGCAGATCTATTCCCCTAATAAAGGCTTGTTGTGGCCTGGTCTGGTCTTGGTCTTCCGCCCTTTTACCAGACAGATAGGTGCTCCTATATCCCAGTACAGATGAAAGGCTAGGACAGTAAAGAGCCTAAACTAAAAAGTTTTAATGTGTAATTCATATAATATAGAATTTAGGTGCTATGAGTTTCTCAAATGAACAAGGAGTAACTGAGAAAGTTGACAGAATGGAGCAGTGGTTTATGTTGAAAACATGATAGTGAGGAATAAGTTTTCTCCTGCCATGAAGATAATATGCAGCATAAATATTTATATGGATAGCTTGAGGCTACATAGTATCCAAACTAAGGACACTAATAGAATCACACTTTGTGCAGGGCAAATGACTAAATTTAAGGGCACATGAACACATTTTAGAACACTTGAAAGAATGCAAAAAAAACAGTGGCATTGTATTCCAGGAAGGACAATTCGAGCATGGATGGTGGATAATATGGGAAAGAGAAGATCAATGTGGGATATAAACTGTGAGAAGACCCTGGCCAAAGGAGTGATTAAAGTGCATACATAAAGATGAAGAGGACTTGGAACAATAGTTCCCATGGCCCTGGAAAGCATAGTAATAGTTTAGAACAGAATCTGAACAGGTCAACAGTCAACAGACTTAAAAGTAGCTTGCTCTCATAGATGTTTGCTTTGGCCATTCTGTCCCCTCTGCCCCAATAAGATTGCTTAAACTAGGTCAACATGTATTATGTAACAAACCACCCCATTCTGGCCCTAACCAAAATGATACAATATGTTGCAAATGTTTTTTTTTACATCTTTGTTCTCCTGTCTTTGAGATACAAATAAATAACTGCAGAGGTCTCAGCTCAGCTCAGCTGTTTCCCTGAGGCTGTTTCCCTGAGGCTGTTTCCCTGAGGCTGTTTTATGCTGAAGGATTAGCCTCTCTAGGTGCTTGGTGTTTGAACTAAGTCTCATCTCTAAATAATGTTTTCATGGTCTGTGCACCCACAGTCACACACTGGAACAATAAACATTTTCTGTAAATAGTATTTCCTCCCAGAAGGCAAAAATAAGAAGCTATAAATTCTTTTCTCCAAACCACTATGCTCCAAATAAGGAGATTATGCATTTCTTGTCTTCTCCGAAATCTGTCTGCAGGTGGGTTTTGAACCTTGACTGGCTCCACCATATCCTGGAACTCAGGAGTCTGTGAGGCACACTTGGGTGTTGGTGGCTACACCTGAGTTTAAAGAAACATGGGTGAGAACAAGTGGATGAATGAACTAGAAGGGGGAGATTTTACCTCAGAAACAAGAAAACTTCAAATAACAAGAGCTCTCCAAACAGACATAGCACTTTCTGGTCTGTGAAGGAAACCAATAAAATGGCATCTTTAAATTTCCTTTTTTCTTATAGTTCTGTATTTTATTCTCATGTAGAAAGAAATATGTAAACATGATGAAAGTTCATTCCCATAGCCTAGGAAATCTATTTTGTTTGACAAAAAAATACATTTGAAGCTTTACATTTGTACAAAAATATATTTATATCTTTAAAAATGCATATATATTCATACATTTTGTAATTAATATCACCATAAATAAAAACACAATAGTGAATAACGTTTGACTGAAGAGAAGAAACATTAAATGTCAGAAAGGATTTTATAGGCTCTTAAAATAACTTGTAATATTTAATAGATTAAGAGATTTTTCTTCTCTGAAATATATCAACATTGATATATGAAAGAGTAACTTCTAGAGCACTGATGATGCTATAGATGAATAACTCCATATGATTCATATGATGAATATGATGATGAATACCTCCAAGAAAATCTTGTAATTTTGTAGACAAAGCTGGTTATTTATTTTGATAATATGTTGTCTATAGAGAAATAGTCTAATTAGTGGCTACTTTAGTAACTTTTGTAGAATCTTACTCAGGATTCTAAAGCTTCTTCCTCTTTGAGTTTCACTATTTATTATGCCAAATCTTTTTGTGTATCTGTAAAATTCCAGAACCCCATACTCTTGAAATTGCAATTTACTGATTTAGGACAAAAACCACCCTTGAAAAATATGCAATCATGCGCTTGCTGCATACTGGCACATGTAATGAAACATACTTTATAGTTATTATCTGCACTGATTACTGAATTGTATAATGTAGGGAACAGGGAGAGGGAACATTACTAGAACCTCTGCAGTAAGTCCTAGTCTCCTGAAAGCCATGGCAGCACAAGGCAAATTACAAGAAAGGTAGAAAAATGAGACTGAGAAGAACTTGAGCTTTGGGTCTGATCAGTGCTGCTTTGGGTGGCAAAGATGAAAGCCCCCAGTTTACTCCACCTTGTATTCAGTACATGGGGGGAAATAAATGTAACAAATGACTTGCAGAGAGTTCAGCATATCCCTGTAAACAAGATGTAACAATCCAAGAACAATGAGTAGATGTTTGTTCCTCCCAGGATGTTTTCACCTGGTGTAATCTTGTCCTGGAGAATCACAGCATCACTCGGATCATTGAGGTCTCAGTTGTGACCAGAGGCCAAAATGGAATTATGTCTCAGTATTCCATAGCTGGGCTGTAGGCAGGAGAATTAAGCTAACCAAATGATTTTACCTTAAAATTATGTAGCATTGCTCCTGACAGTATAAATTGTTTGAGCTTTTCTCGTTTTATGAGCTTACTTCTATTTTTTCCAATTGTATTTTGGGAATAAGAAGTGATAAGGTCTTTTAAGTAAGAATATTGTAGTGTCTCTCACCTTTAAATCATTCATTAAAAGCCCATTCATAAACTACTCATTTAGTTCACAACTCACATTTCTTTACATTTTAGCCACAGATAAGGCCACCACCACCCATGTTTATATCATAGGTATCTGTTTCTAGACATGATCAAGTGGGCCAGTGTTGGTCACTTGACTCAAAAAGGATTACTGAGAAGAGACAATAATTTGATAAATGAGGAATAACCATCATCTTTCCATTTTGAGCAGAGTGGATCAGAGAATATTGAGAGAGGAAGAGTGTGAAAAGAGCCAGCACTGGATGCCCCATATCCCCTGTAAGCAGCAGTAACAGGAGACAGAGGCTGACTCTGGTGTCATCATCTGCAAACTTCCTGAGGTCCCTTGGCATTTTTGCTTTTAGGTTTCTAAGAGACACAGCAATCTCCTTATTAAAGTATGTTATTCTTTTTTTAGTTTGAATTATTTTCTACTGCATGCATCCAAAGAATCATGAAACAGTGTGTATTTATATAAATATATAAAATTGTATATTTATATAATCCCTAGAGCTTCACTGAAAGCTTTATTAAATTACATTAGTTGGGCTGGGGATTTAGCTCAGTGGTTCTGCTGCCTCCTTTGCAAGCACAAAGTCCCAAGTTCGATCCCTGGTACCAAAAAAACAAAAAAAACCCCAAAACAAATTAAATTACATTAGTTGATTCAATCCCCCTATTAAAAGAGTAAACTGAGTATCATTCACTTTTTACAAAATATAATTAAACATTATATAAGAAGCCCTTGAGGTAGTGCCCAGCATACACTAACTTAACCCTATGTACATAGGACTGATATCACTGCCCTGCTACAGAGTACATGAATATATAGTATAGTATAGTCTGATTTCTAATATCTGGTGTAATACATGTCACATTACAGGAGTTTAATAAAGCCTTGCTTACTGAATAAATGAAGCTTACAATCATGGTTGATATGCTATAATTAACTTTAGTATATGATTGGAATAAAACTAATGTTCTTTAGAGTTCCAATCAGATCCAGAAAAATATCCCTACCATGTGAATCTTTGAGGTAGTATTTCCAATTGAAATTCATTTTATTCTTAGTTTCATCTTCCATTGCAAAAAAATTTCTCTCAATATATTTTGTGTCAAAGATAGTTATAAAATATATGATCAATACTCTAATTTCTAAATAAATAGTAGAAATATGTAGCCCTACTGAAATTACTGTATGTACATAATTTTTTCTGTGTACCTGATTGTATTTCATCTTTTTTTGTCTCGTGGGATTAATATAATGGGTTTTAATATGAATACCATATGTAAAATCACATAAATTTTGGTCACATATTTTTTTTGTAACTTGAGAGAAAATATAGTCATTTAACCAAGTTTATAAATATATTTCCATAGTAATTATTATATTAATACACTTTTACTTATTTCTCTACAAGGAAAATTATTAAATATGAATAAAATAAGGATTTAGAATTTTTGCTTTAAATATGTTAGTTCTTCCTTCAGTGAATCTAGGAACTGAATATGGGTTTTTGGATTAAAACTTCATGTTATTTCCAGTAATTTTTTTTCATTTTATTTGTAATTGGCACATAGTATCACACATATTTACAAGGCATTGTGTGATGTTTTAAATCATTTACAGATTGTGTAATAATCAAACCATTGTACTTAGAATACTCATCACCTAAAACATTTTCATTTCTTTGTTGTGGAAACATTCGAAATCTTCCCTCTTAACTATTTTGAAATATTCAATGAAATATGCTTACCCATAGTAACTCTTCTGTGCAGTGGCATAGCAGAGCTCTTACTTTTGTACAACTGTCCCTCAGTTCTTGTGGGCCAGCCTTTGCCACTCCTCCCTCCTCCACTCTTGGCTGCCTCTAGCCATTTCCCTATGTTCCTGTGAGGTCAGCATTTTTAGCTTCCACATATGAATAAGATCACATAGTACTTTTCTACCTGTGCTTGGCTTAGCAAAATGATCTCCCACTCCATCCACGTTGTCATAAATGGCAGAATTTAATGCTTTATAGCTGAATCACATACCATCGTGATACCACTTTTTCTTATGCATTATCTGTTGGACTCTGCAGTTGTTTCCACTTTGTGGCTCTTGCAAATGGTGGTACAATAAACATGGAGGGAAAATGCCTTTTCTACATACTGATTTCATTCCCTTTGGCTATTGTCGTGAGCAGGTACCGTGGGTAAAGAGGACTCGGACACGGACGGCAGTTCACACACTTATCATAATTCACTTCAATACAATTACCACACAATATTAAGTCTGCCAATTACCACGTCCCTGTACCTGTACTGCGCAAGTCCTTATGGGAGCGCGACGTTTCCTCCCGTAGGGTCAGAGGGTCCGATCCGTAGAAGAAGGGCGTCGAGTCGGAGTTAGGCTATCCGTCTCTCTGCTTGCCTCATCCTCTGGTCCCGTCTGGTCGGCGGAGACGCTCCTTCCAGTGGGATCAGGTGTGCAGATGTCTCGGTTGGTAATCAGATCAGCAGATTGACTGGTCGACTGGTCGGTGGATGGATCGTCGACTTGCTTGGGGTCTTCAGCTCCTTTTATACTATTCTAACTGGGCGCTTGTGGTATTGGTTCAGACTTATCACACTGTCCATTTCAGGGCGCACCCTGTCCAGTTCGGGGGTACTCCTTGTCCAGTTCAGGGCACACCCTTATCAGTTCCATACCACTTAAGATTCTACTTTCATCACTCTTATGATTATGTCATACTTAGGTTACAGCGCTCTTAAAGTCACAGCACACTTTAGGGTTACAGCACACTTAGGGTTACAGCACACTTAGGGTTATACAATTCCATCTTATTTCAAAGTGTTCTCCACAGATATATACTCAGTAGTGGGATCGCTGGGTCATAAGGTAACTCTACTTTTAATTTTTTGAGGAACCTCAATCTGTTCTCCTCAGTGGTTGTACTAGTTTACATTTCTAACAACAGCATAGAAGGCTGCCCTTTTCTCTATATCTTGATCAGCATTTACTATTGTCTTCTTGGCAATAGCTCTTCTAGTTGGAGTAAAGTAGTATCTTACTGTGGCTGGTGTTGTGCCCAGATTGCAAGGTCCCAAAGACCACCAGGAGGCCATTTCCGATGTAAGCACATGAGGGTCGTTTATTCAAGCTTAAGCAGGGACTCTCAATTGTCACCAACACAGC